GGAATAGCTTTCATGGTGCATAAGATTGAGAAAAAAATCTGGGCTGTAAGTGTAAGAAGGAGCAAAAGGGACATTATCCAGGAAATTTATGATCCATAAAGTGGGTCAACTGGCTGATAGGGATAGTGAGTGAGAAACAGTAGCAGTCCAGTGCATGTGCTCTGTTAGCACCCGTGAACTATTATAAGACCTAGAGGAAACCTTCTGGGAGTTTTGGTAAATCAGTGGAGAATTTGTGGGAAACGTGAATAAGAATTTCATAGTTTAGAAAGCATGGTTGAGTTGCTATCTAGGGCACTGGAAGAAATATGTCAGTCATCACAAGTTGTGTTTGTCCTTCAGTCTCAAAGAGTACCATGACATCAGGGAGATGACATGACTTGCAATTGACTTAGATTTGAGGGAGGGAGGGCTGTGCAAGGTCACCAACCTCAGTTTCTCCTCCAGAGCCATCTGGGTCCAGCGGCCAGATATTCCTCAGAACAACTGGAGGTGGCCCAGGATGCAATGGGACACCCTGGCCCTTTTAAGCCTAGGTCTTTTCAGGTTCTCACTTTTGAGTGAGGTAACACCCATTCAGTGAATAGACCTCTTTCAAAATGGCTTTTATCAAGTGCTGCTTATGCCAGCCAGTTAATAAACATTTATTAAATGCTTACTATATGCCAGGCACTGTACTAAATACTGGAGATACAAAAAATAAAAATGTAAAAGACAGTTCCTGATCTCAAGGAGCTCACAGTCTAATGAAGAAGACAACATGCAAAAAACACGTACAGACAAGCTACATAAAGAATAAATTTGAAATAATCAATAGAGGTAAGACACAAGAATTAACTACTACTAATGAGTAGTAAGGAGTAATAACTTCTTACTACTGGAATTAACTCCTTAGTGCTAATTAGAAAGGAATTAAGTAGTAATAAGTAGCCATTAAGTACTAGCAAGGAGTAAGGAGTAAGTTGTTGAGTAAAGTTGGACTCTTTGTGACCCCATTTGAGGTTTGCTTGCGAAGATACTAGAGTGGTTTGCCATTTCCTTCCCCAGCTCATTATACAGAGGAGGAAACTGAGGCAAACAGGGTTAAGTAACTTGCCCAAAGTTGCACAACTAGTAAGTGTCTGAGGCTGAATCTGAACTAAGGTTCTCCTGACTGCAAGTCCTGCACTTTATGCACTGTGGGGCCACCTAGCTGCTCCATAAAAAAAAAAAAAAGTTGTATATACCAAGTACTTACTGCAGGCCAAATTCTTTCTGTGCTAAGCACTGGGATATACTATCTAAGTTCCTACCTCAGTAAGATCACACAGCATTGGGGAAGGGGGCTGAAGAAATCAAGTGTTACCAAGAATAAGTGAAACTTCAGCCAGATGGATTTTCAAGAAAGGGATGAAGAGACCTAATGGCACCTTGCATTGTATTTGCACAGTGCCTTACCGTCTGCAAAGAGAATTCAGTTTCTAAGGTCCTTTGATCCTCACTGTGATTCCTTTGTGTCATCATACAGTGTGTGGGATCTTTATAGGTATGTGTGTCAGACCAGCCTGTACTTTCAGTAACTCTGGAGGCCATATACAGAGTACACTAGGAAAAGTGCCAGCTGGTCATCAAACTAGGAAATCAGATCGATCTTATATTTATTTGAACGGTATCAGCTGAGCGTTCTCCTGAGGGCCATCTTAAAAGCCTGGTGCCTAGGGGTATTTCTAGTACCAAGCTTCAGTAACCATAGAGGTAAGATGAATAGAATAGTTGAGCTCTAAGAAAGGCTCTATTTCCCTTCAAATTCAGCGCCAGCAATATGATGTGTGAATGCACCTGATCTGGGAGCAAGTGCTGATGACACTCTTTCAGAGTAGAATTAGATTTACAAACAAACAGGGTTAAGTGACTTGCCCAGGGTCATACAGCTGTCTGAGACTAGCTTTGAACTCAGAAAGATGAGTCTTCCTGACTCCAGGCCTAGAACTCTATCCACTGCATCACCTAGCAGCCCTTCAAAAGAGATACATGAAATATTTTCTCTACATTTACATTCTTATAGAAAAGTCAGTAGGACAGATAACGCTGAATTAGAGCACCATCATCCTGGAACTGGAAAACACCTCTCTCTACTCAACTTTAATATTCTATGATTATGTGAATTTATGATTTTGAGTTTGGAATTGGAGGAGGGTAGAGTTCTGTGGTCCTCTTGATGTTCCTATTTGTGGATGAAATTGTGTTGAATGCATCAAGGCTGGAACATTACAGAAGATCCTAAATGAGATCAATAATCGCTTAAAAATGTTTAGAGTAACAATGCATAGTGGAAAAACCAAGTAGATGACAAAAGTTTATTACCCAGACAACATACAATTGGATGGACAACAGATAGGCCTCATTCATGAGTTTCCATATCTCGGATAGAAACTGCAAGCGGACAAAAAGCTGGACCTTACTGTTGTTCAGTTGTTTCAGTCCTGTCCAACTCCTCATGACCCCACTCTCGGGTTTTCTTTGCAAAGATAGTGGAGCGGTTTGCCATTTTCTTCTCCAGCTCATTTTACATATGAGGAACTGAGGCAAATAGGCTTAAGTGACTTGCCCAGGGTCACACAGTTAGTAAGTGCTGAGGCCAGATTTCAACTATTTAAACAACTCTTCAGTGGATGTGGAATTAGATTCGTCCTGATCGGCCTCAGAAGACAGATCCAGAAAAACTAGGCAGAAGTTGCAAAGAAGCAGGTTCTGGCTAGATTTAAAGGAAAAAACAAAAACAAAAACAAACTTTGTAACACTTAAAGCTACCTCAGGGGACATGGGCTAACTCAGTTCTTATTAAAGATCTTCCAACGAAGGCTGAAAAACCACTTGTTAATTATCTTAGTATAGAGGACTCAAAGGCTGTTTTGTCCAGTTTTGGATTGGAGGAGACAGCTTTTGACATCCCTTCCAGTTCTGACATCCTGATTCATTTCTTTCTGTTCTCCAGCTTTGCTTATTTTTTTTTCCTTCAGAATAACTTTCTCCTGGCTGTTTCCATCTGGCATATCCTTGTAATCTGCACATGTGCCTTAATTTTGCCCATTAACACTTCTCGTAGCAGTTTCTCTGCAACTTTTACAATTTGTTTTTCACTTAAGTCTAATTGGGAAGGGAAGTTTTACAATCCAAGTTTGTAAGACTAGAGACTTCAAACACATTAAAACAGTCTGAAATGAGATTTTAATGGAGATTTGTCGTTGAGTTATTTCAGACTCTTTGTGACCCCATTTGGGGTTTTCTTGGTAAAGATACTGGAGTGGTTCGCCATTTCCTTCTCCAGCTCATTTTACAGAGGAGGAAACTGAAGCAAACAGGGACAAGTGACTTGCCCAAGGTCATACAGCTAGTAAGTATCTGAGGCTAGCTTTGAACTCAGGAAGATGAGTCTTCCCGACTCCAGGCCTAGAACTCTAACCACTGCATCACCTAGCAGCCCTTCAAAAGAGATACATGAGAAGGCAGCTAGGTGGCGCAGTGGATACAACACCAGCCCTGGAGTCAGGAGGACCTGAGTTCAAATGTGACCTCAGACCAAACATTTGATGCTTACTAGCTGTGTGACCCTAGGCAAGTCACTTAACCCCAAATACCTAAAAATTAAAAAAAAAAAAAAAATACATGAAGTGTTTTCTCTACATTTACATTCTTATAGCAAAGTACTCAAGAGCAATCATTCTCAAAAGCAATGGCCTGAGAATGTCTGGCTATTAGGATTAGGATCACAAATATTTCAAATATTTGATTTTCAGAGGTCTAGTCTGATGGTCAATGAGGGTGTGCTTGTATTTGTGTGAGCATCTCAGGGTCTGACTATTCATCTTTCGTCCTTCCCATCCTCTCTATGATGTCCTCTTTCACTCTGTGTTTCACCCTGCTATACAATTTACAGAATCCTGTGTGTTGCCCCAGTCCTCCCTCTTCTCACTCTTACATCAGCTTCCTTTTTTCCCCTTAGCCCCAGTGGGGGTCTATCAGTCCTACTGTATATACCTGACACTGAATGAGGTACAAACTTTCTGTTGAATTCTAATACCCATCTTATTTATCATATTGCATTTGTTCTCTGCGGGCTCTCTCCCGCCCCGCCCCCCCCATTTCTTTCCGATTGTCACTTTCCATTATGCCATGTGTAGTAACGGGTGTTAATTCTTACTCAGCAGTCAGATCCAATAAATTCCATCAATACATATCCAGTCCCACCTATCAAGTATACCACATAACACCAGAGGGCGCTCTGAGATAATTAGCAGGCTCCTATATGCCTCTGACAGACACAGCTTCAGGTGCAATCTCGTTACTCCATAGTTTGGGGTGGATTATTCCTTGAGATTAAGAGCTAGCAGGTTCCATCCAATTTAGGGAAACTCATTCTTTTCATCCAAATCCCTTTGGTATTTCCTAATTATTCAAGACTTTAGGCTGAGATGGAAAGATTGGCTAGTCACTTAATGAGTTTAATAAAAGCATTGCAAAGTAGAGGTCTCAATGAGGCTATAAACTCTCAATTCCTTATTCAAACAGCAAGTTTTTATCTCCCATCCCAAGGAAGTTTATTCTGCCCAATGCCCTGAACATAGATGCTTGAGGCAGGGGTGGGAGGAAGCATAAAGCTTGACCCACTAGCCTTACTTGGAAGTCACTTTTTTCTAGTCTCAGGAACTTTGCTTACAGACACTTCAAATATCTTGCTGTCCTCAGTTTTTCATTTAATTCAAACACAGCCCCTGCAGTGGTCTCAGTTCTCATTTAATCTTCTGAAATCAACAAATTCCACCCCCTCCCCCTTAAGGCCTGAATATGGCTCTTGTCCCAGAATATGGTTCTATGACCTCACTATTAAAGTCTTATTAATGTTTACTCATTAATAAGGAACCATTCATACACAGAAGACATTAGTCAAATTGTACTGAAGGTATAACACACTCGGGACATCTCTGTAGGGAGACGTGATTAAGTGCAGGCATATAAGAGACCAGCCCCCACCTCCCCTCGAAGAGTGTCACTTTCCAACTTACTCTTTTGGCCAGATCCCGAGAGAGGAGCCTGCCCTCATCCCTGTACGGGAGGGAGGAGATTTCTAGGTCACAGGCTCAGCTGAAGATTGGGCTGCAGTATGCACTCCCTTTTCTGCCTTCTCCTGGCTACCCTCTTAGGTAAGAGCCCCACTTTGTTTTCTTATTGTGAGTATCCCTTCTCCAGCATTGAGAACCCCTCCCCACAATCCATCCCCTCCCTCAATCTTGGAATCTTAGTGCTTCCTTTCTTTTCCATTCCTTTTTAATGTTTGTGTGCCTACTTAGAAGGGATTTGGGTCATGGGTCTGCCTAAAGTCCAGGTTTTCTGTGTGCCAACTCAGGGCCCCCAAGAAGGAATATAGATCATCTCCTACTAAATCTCTCCACCATTGTCTTCTGCTCCCTCACTCTTTCAATCTCAACAGTGTCCACTTCCATACCTCAGCTTCCCTCTCTCCCTGACCCCTCCCACACTCCATAATCTCTGGTCATCCTTAGGACCCTTCTATTTGCTGGCCTCTGTCCCTAGAGGATTGGGAAGTGGTCTTGGCTAAGTTGTATCATCTGTGCTCAGTCTTTCACATTTTCCACAGAGGCTGGTGTTGGGGCTCAGAAAATCCACCAATGGCCGGCCACCAAGCTACAGGTTGAAGGGAGCCGGCTTTCCCTGGAGTGTTCCGCAGAAGGGATGTCAGATCCCTATCTCTACTGGTATCACCAGCCCCTAGGTGGGGTTCTGCAGCTGCTGTCCTATTCTATAGGTTTAAACCATGTGGAGGATTCAATGCCCCGACGTTTCTCAGGTTCAAGATCTCAGAGTCATTTCCAGCTCATCTCCCAGAAGATCCTTATCACTGACTCAGGTTTCTATTTCTGTGCCTGGAGCCTCACACTGAACTGAGTGAGGCAGATAGCTGTGCAAAAACCCTTCCTTTCCTCCAAGTGCTAACAATATGTCCAGATCTACTACAAGAGCCCTCCCAGACCACATAGTGATAGTGATTTCTTCTCCCCTATGACAACAGGTACTGGGCCTGATCGAAAAATAAGACATACTTTTCTTTGTTCCTCCCACTTCTAATTCCAGCTCATCTCTCCAGGGAACTGAGAGTCAGGATAATAAACTCAGTATTAATGTTTGCAGATAGGCAGGCTTGGCATGGAGAAGTCCAGGAAGAAAAAGACAAGGAAGAAAGCAGGAAAAAAGAAAAGGTAGAGGGAATGGGCCAGTGAGCATATAGATAGAAATGTTATTTTAACCGTGTTGAACCTGAATTCACAATCAAGATTGTTAGCTCATGCCATCACCCTAGTCATAAGCCTGAGAAGACCCTAACCCACCAACAAACATGGCCCAACACACTCCTTTTCTGTCAGATTTTCCTCCAGTTTGTGGATAATCTTTTCTCATATAATCATTACATATATACATCCATCTTCCTTTCTTTCCTTGTTCTTTTTGCTTCAGATAGCATCTGGTCAGATGTAGTTCCATGATAGAGTTCAAGGCAGAATTCTTGCCAAAAATGGGGTTTCTAGCTAAACTGTAACCAGGGTCTTAATCCTCAGGTTTAAACTTATGCTCACTTAATTCTAGCTGAGATATCCTCTAAGAACACAGGAGGCCTGAATTGGTGGGAAGAGGTAGGGATGATACCTTTATACAGGGGGTCAGTGAAGATCAAGCAGAAACCCTTTAATTGTTAAAAAAAAAATAGAAGGGAAATGGGAAGAGGGATTAGGAAAACAAAAAGGAACTAGAGAAGCGGGAGAGGGCTTAGGATAAGGCTTCAGTCTGTGAAGTAAGGGCTTCACGGAAAAATTCTTTAAATTATTTAAGGAGAGAAAGGAAATGAAATAGATCCTTCTGCAAGAAGAAGGGCATAAATAGCCATGAGTAATGAATATGTATTTCTGCCTAACTTTTGCAATTCAACATTCTGCTATCATCCAAGCCCTCTGGCTCTTGATCTCTCTTGTTATTAAAAAGTTGGCTCTTATGCCCTTCCTCTCCAAGAGAGGGCATGAGAATGCTTAAAATATGTTGTTTTTAAGTTACGTCATTAACCCAAAGTATAATTTTATACTAAACAATCTTTTCTTCCCCATAATTTAAGACATTCAGAAAAAGCACTAACAGATAAGGAGGCAAAAGTCAAAACCAAAGCACACTTTTTATTCTTCCATTAATAAGGTATTTATAGAGATGCAAGGGGGAAAAAATTGGAACCTAAAATAAAATAAAAATTTCCCCAGTTTTTTAAACATTTTCATTTAAAGTTTTGAGTTACAAATTCTATCCTTCCCTCCATTCCTGCCCCTCTCTGTGAGACCATAAGCAATCAGATATAGGTTATACATGTGCAATTATGTAAAACGTTGCCTTATTAGTCTGAAAAGAAAAGAAAATTTTTAGAAAGCTATTGATAAAGCACTCTTTTGTGCCTAGCTTGTTTCAAGACTATGTGGTATTGTAAAAGAAGCAGATCTGTCGAAGACAACACTGAGCACATGCTCATTGGTCTTCCAGAGCAGGTGAGTTACAGACAAGATGAAGACAAATGACCCAACTTTCAGTGAGGTATAGGGGCCCTGGATTTGCAGTTTGAAAATAAAGATTCAAGTCCGGTTTAATAGCTCTTTGACCTGTGGCAAAGCACTTCACTGAGTCTCAGTTTACTCACTTCTAAAATAAGGGTGTTGGGGGGGTATCTGGGTGGCTCAGGAGGACCTGAGTTCAAATCCAGCCTCAGACACGTAACACTTACTAGCTGTGTGCCCCTGGGCAAGTCACTTAACCCCCATTACCCTCCACCAAAAAAAAAAGAGAGAAAAAATAAAATAAAATAAAATAAGGGCGTTGGAATGATCATTTCTAAGGTCCTTCAAGTGTTAAATCCATGATCTTCACATCCTATAATCACAAAACATGTAATTCAGTGCAAAATGCAGGGGTACTGCCTATGAATGCTAGACAAAGCAAGCTCAGGGAAAACTCAAAGCTCACAAGAGACATCCTTAAAGGTGTACCAGGGAACATGAACTCAGGCTGGAGGAGGTGGGGGATTTAGACAGAATACATTTCAGGCCAAGATAAGAGATCTAGCAAGAGGAAAGATATAGAAATAACCATGTTGAGGTTAAGTGAATGTTAATGATACTAATACTAACGGGAATACTGATTAGAAGAATGTTTGCCTCTGGGAAATGTTGGGAGATAATGCAGAACAGGCAAAGTCAGGCTAGAGCAGGGGTGGGGAACCTGCCGACCTAAAGCCACATGTGGCTTTCTAGGTCCTTAAGTGAGGCCTTTTGACTGACACCAAATTTTACAGTATTGTTCTATAAACATGTGTATGTCTACATCTGTATATGCGGTGCATATACAATTATGTGCACATATGTGAATATACACGTGTGTTGTATATATGTATGCATGTGAATGTGTATGTATGTGTATATTTTTGTGTGTGCATACAAATGTGCATGTTTATGTATCTTCATGTATTTGCTTGTGCATATATATGTTCGTATAAATATATATATATATATATATATATGTGTATGCATATATATGTATATGTAGGGGCAGCTTGGTGGCCTCAGACACTTACTCAATGTGTGACCCTAGGCAAGTCACTTAACCCTGATTGCCTCAGTTTCCTCATCTGTAAAATGAACTGGAGAAGGAAATGGCAAATAGTTTCAGTATCTTTGCAAAGAAAACCTCAAATGGAGTCACAAAGAATAGGACACAGCTGAAACAACAAATATGTATATGTAGATGATAGCATAGAGTTGTTTTGGCATAGGAAGGAGAGTAACAAAGGACAGACAGTCAAGGCAACAAGCTTTTATTAAGTGCTTACTGCTGGGGACACAAAGAAAGGCAAAACCTTCCTGCCCTCAAAGAAGTCACATTCTAATAGGAAAGAAAATGGGCAAAGACAGAGTTACACAGTTTTTGAGCATATAAGATAGGATTTGAAACCAAGTCTGACTCTAGACATTGAGTGCCATTTCCTGCCCCATCTTCTTTCCATCCTTAGAATTCTTCTTCCAGGCTTGAGTATGAAAGGTTTTTTAAGTGATGGGCTCCTCTGAAAGGCAGACAGTAAGTGGGCCTGGGTTATCTTTGTAAGGCACAAAGCTCTAAACTCATGTGAATTGTTAGTATTATTACCACTCCCTTTACACACAGGAAGATGAGGTATCCCAGATGGGCTACTCTGTTTCACCTGACAGGTGTGTATCTGGGCTAAGATCATTGAAGCTTGAGTGTTGGGTTTGGCTTCAAACTCTGCCATTTACCAGCTTGGTGACTTTGGTCAAGTTGCTCATTCTTTCTGGTCCTCATTTTCTTTATCTGTAGAATAAGGATAATAATACTATACTACCTGTCTCATAGAGCTGTGAGGGTTAAATTAGATAATAGGCATAAAGCGATTTTTAACCATAAGGTTCTATGTACATGTAAGCATTAGTTTATTATTATTAGAGCAACATGAAAGCTGAGTCATGGCAGAGTGGCTGCCTTTGAAACGTATCCTGGGAAAAAAAGAGTACAAAGATAGATCATGAACTGAAAGAAGGGCCTTTCTAACTAGAAGTTCCAAGAGCCAAACAAAAGAGTGAAGGGTGTGCTCCTGACGTCTTAGGTTTCCTGTATCATATAATTTTGAAGTGGAAGGAGCATCAATACCCATCTTGTCCCATCTATATGAGAAAGGGATCCCTACTATAACATACTCGACAAGTGGCCATCCCCAGCCTCTGATTAGAGTTTCAATGAGGAGAACTTCTCCTCTCCCCTGCCCTGTCCCCAAGGCACCTCTACTTTTGCATGGGGGCAACGGATAGTGGTAGTGGAAGAGTTTGGGGGGGTGCTTCTAAATGGGTCAGAGCAGTTATTGCAGCTGTTTTCAATTCATATCCATCTCTCCAGTACCCACCATAATTCTGTGTATTGACTTTGGCATCTGTGCCGGTTGGAGGGTAGACAGAATGCTGCACGTGGAGCTGGGGCACCCACTTCCCTCACTGGGCCTCTCTCCTCTCCCCGCTGTGGTTCTCTTTCCACTACCAGGGTGTTAGTTGCCCTCAGAAGGGGGTGGGGAGCAGGAAGTGGGAAGTGTGGTTCCCGTCATTGCTTAGTAGGTGGGTAGAGGGAGGGATTTTCACATGCGCCCCAGATGTTAATGCCTAGCAAATGTCAAACCACATCCTGTTATGTCTCCAAGACAGAAGTAGGGGCAGGCATCAGGTCTCACTTAGCACCTGATGGGACTCACAGATAAGCAGCTCAGCAGCCTGCGTGGAGTCGTTATACAGACATTCCTGTACCTACTCCCTTTGCCCTGCCCCCATTTTTCCTCAGCCCCCATTTCTTCATTTCCTGTCCTTTCACCCCAGCACCACTTTGCTGCCTAGTGCTATTTCACTCTCCTCATTCATGCTCCTCTACTTTATGGAAAGAACCTGGGGTCAACAGTTAGACCACTTGAAACTACTTCCTCGTGGTGGGTCTCTGGGAGTGATCTCTTTGTTCAGTCATTGAATAAGTTCCAATCTTGCCTGCTCATCAGGGGCCCAGAACAGGGCCCCTTGAACAGCTCATGAGCTGTTCTCTGCCTCAAGATTCTAAAAATAATAATAGCTACTATTGCTATAGCATGTTAAATCTTATGAGTTGCTTCACATTCACGATCTCATTTGGCCCTTTGAATCCTATAGGTAATAAAGAAAAAAAATTCATCACAGAAGAAGGCACCATGAGGGCAGGGACTCATGTTTTTTTGTTGTCTTTTTTCTTCTAGTGTCTGACACAGTGCCTTGCACATAGTACGCACTTAGTAGATTTTTGTTTAATTAAATCCCTTTTTTTTCATGTATAGAAACCAAAGTTCCAAAAGGTCGGGTGATTTGCCCACTGTTAGATATCCCATAAAACAGCAGCAGAGCCAGGATTCTAAACCAGCCCTTCAATTCCAAATGCATTGTTCTTCCTAGTGCATCACGCTGAAAAAGACCTGAGAGGCATAGCTAAGTATGGAATGCTTAGCCAAA